ATATCAGTTATCGTGTAGTTTGTTTATCAGTTATCATGCATGTCGTTTGTATATCAGTTATCGTTTAGTTTGCATATCAGTTATCGAGTAGTTTGTATATCAGTTATTATCTTTTCTCATCTCGAGGGAGAGAATGCACATAATAACAAATCATTAATTGAATGAAGGAACCACCTGGGAAAACGATGCCATCTTGTATTCAGTGGAGTTGAGCAAACTACCGAAAGCCGAGGACGAGCAACAAATACCAACCCACTGGATCCAGCTGTCTGATCGATGAACAAAAGCAAAGCTGTAACTATCTGCAATAACATCCAATCGGTTTTGCAAACAGATCATGCTTAATATTTCATTGTCATATTTGGACGTAAGGCACTTATTGGAACGGAGGTCTTTCGAGGATACTTGACAAGTACTTGGCAAGAAAAAACAGTGGTTAATAGCACGAGAGAGTGAGTTGGGTTAAACGCTTTGAACAGTATTCCAGTTAATCAGGGCGCGACAATGTCTTGTATGATGACAAAGCACGGTCACTTTCAAACAGAGCCCCACTTTAGTCGACACCTGATACAACTGGTTTTAACTGCACTGTTAGTGCCATGTTACATGTGAGGCAAGGTAACATACATACTCGCGCTTCTCAAAACTATTAATGTGGCAAACGCAATCTTCGAGATAAAGGTACAATATTCTACAGCTAAGTCAAAGTTGCGACCGAGTCAAAGGTTCGTGATATGGCTACGCATTTTTTTCTCGATTTCGAGATAAGCGGGGAAATTATTTTTAAATGAGGCAGTCGGGACCGGAGATTAGGTTCCCGATATCGGTACATTCGTTATCACGGGATACGAGATAACGAGGTTCGAGTGTATGGGCAAAGTGTAAGAGGAAAAGAAGAGGGGAGGATCGGACTCTGGTCTTCTTATAAAAAATTAGGTACGATATTCTTTTATCTGTTTCGGGGTAACAGTTATTGAGTATGGTTTTTCGCCGCTTTTAGCAATATTCCAGCAATATCACGACGGGGGGACAGCAGAAATGGGTTTCACACACTGAACCCATGGTGAGAAAAGAACCCTTGGCTTCAGCGTGACGAACCAACGCTTCAACAAATAGGCTACTCCACCGCCCCGTCTCGCCGTTACAGAACGTTGGAGCTAATGTGTATGATGAATTAATCACCGCATCAAAGTATACTCTTTAAAAAAGTCAGGGTTACTCGGAAATAACTTCCAAAATTATAAGAGATGTTAGTTTCAAGTACTAGTTCTCTGATAACAAATGAATGAATTGGGAACACATTACAACTGGTAGTAAAGTATGACTGTAGATGTTACGACCGCCAAAGATCTTGAAGATCGATAGGGGTAAGATGGGAAATTTCAAAGTTGACGTTTTTGGACCACGTAGGGTATAATACCACAACGATTTGTCCAACATTCATTCACTCGACGAGACATGCTGCGCATGAGTCTCCCAATGGCGATTTTCAGCGCCTTGCCAAAGTTCAGCCAACGTGGTCAGCGGCCTATGACGTTGACACACACGTCTCCCTATCGATTGACGATTCGTGCACGGTGAACACGTGCGTTGTCTTCCTGAAAGACAAAACGTCGACCGACTCGCCTTGCATGCGTAAAGGCTGTCAGTATGTTGTCCCGATAGTAATGTTCGGTGACCCTTCCTTGCACAATATGGAGTGGGGTTCATGGTAATGCCACAAAATAACCGATTCACCGCCAAGTTTCAGGCTGACATTGACTTGACGTTCATTTCGACGTCTCAAGACACGACCACTACTACCAAGGAAGTGCTAAGTAAACCGGGAATCATCTGAATGCATGACACGTGACCAGCGACGATTACACCAGTTTCGAGGTTATGTACACCATTGATGTCTGTTGTCGATATGACGATTTGCAAAGGGCGGCACAACACGTGGCCGCACGTCGAGCATGGAGATGAGCTGTATGTAGACAATCGTCTGACCCGAAACTCGTACTCCAGTAGCCTGATGAAGGTTTGAAGTAATTTGAAAACCATTTGACCTCGTTTTTGAAGGAAGGACACCTGAAAGTGGTCGACCAACATGTTGGGTTTGTTGGTATCTGTTCCACAGACAAACTGACAGATGACAGACTGTTAAACATTGAACGTATTGGCCACCGCATGTTGACTTCAGCCAGTTTCCAGAATGCTACGGCCGGAGACGCTCCGAGCGTTGCGGACCAGCATCGCTAGTTCATACACAAACAATGAATGGAATCAAGTAAAACCACAACTGTATGATAAGGAGAATCAGTAAGACAGAGGACAATGATCCACGGAGAGGAATCGACCTTCCTTGAACATGCCAAAGTCAGGAATGACAACCTACGCACGTGTGTGACGCTACTGCGGACAGCACGTGCACACTACAGGATGTGTTTTGGTGTATACGTTTAACGGACACAAACGTTCTTGTATAGGATGATTGCCGTCAACACTGTTCTAATACTTGGTATTAACATTTATATTTCATGATCCCCCACCTTTCTTAAAGAATATATAGATATAAATCTGTACAGTAGAATTTGTCACGAAACGCTTTTCGTAAACGATTATAGTTACGTTACATTTTTGACACACCAACAATAGCGGGTGACTGTTCATTGTATCAGCTCAAACTACTATATCCTGGGGACAGCTAGAGCAGCCGACAGAACCGCGTATATGTATCTGGAAATAGCCTGCGACATTTGACTCCCAATGGAAGGCTGCTATTCCTTAGGTCAATTACAGATTAGGCATGGATGCATTCAACATCACTAAATGATGAACCGAATTCATATGACAATTGTAGAGGTTTGGAAAGTACAGTTGTCAAACAGTCTGCACACTTGTTACATACTGTATCTATAACGGTTATTTCATATCTCTTGCTAAAAGGCAGTTGTAGAGTATATGTAGAGTATGTGTAGAGTATGTGTAGAGTACGTGTAGAGTACGTGTAGAGTATATGTAGAGTACGTGTAGAGTACGTGTAGAGTACGTGTAGAGTATATGTAGAGTATGTGTAGAGTACGTGTAGAGTATCTGTAGAGTACGTGTAGAGTATCTGTAGAGTACGTGTAGAGTATCTGTAGAGTACGTGTAGAGTATCTGTAGAGTACGTGTAGAGTACGTGTAATGTACGTGTAGAGTACGTGTAGAGTACGTGTAGAGTACGTGTAATGTACGTGTAATGACAGACATTCTTTATTTCCTCCAATAATTGAAGAGTACGTATGACAGTAAGTTAGGTCAAATCATAGATGATTTGTAGTGAACAAAACGCAGATAACAAAAAAAAATGAATACAGTGTCCTTCTAGGTAGGAGCTTGTGAACAGTAACGGTTATAACATGCTTTGTTTGTTGTGTAACCTGCAAATATGTACAAACTTTGAGACAACCAACACAAATCGTATCCAAGTGCTAAAATCAACACGACATAAGGTGTTGTGATCTCCTCCAAGCAAACAGTTCAACATTGCATTGTCATCCTGGTCACAAACGTTAATAAAATCGTTTATATGCAGCAGTGAAGAGTATCTGTAGAGTATATGTAGAGTACGTGTAGAGTATCTGTAGAGTACGTGTAGAGTATCTGTAGAGTACGTGTAGAGTACGTGTAGAGTACGTGTAGAGTATCTGTAGAGTACGTGTAGAGTACGTGTAGTGTATCTGTAGAGTACGTGTAGAGTATCTGTAGAGTACGTGTAGAGTATCTGTAAAGTACGTGTAGAGTATCTGTAGAGTACGTGTAGAGTATCTGTAGAGTACGTGTAGAGTACGTGTAGTGTATCTGTAGAGTACGTGTAGAGTATCTGTAGAGTACGTGTAGAGTATCTGTAGAGTACGTGTAGAGTACGTGTAGAGTATCTGTAGAGTATCTGTAGAGTACGTGTAGAGTATCTGTAGAGTACGTGTAGAGTATCTGTAGAGTACGTGTAGAGTATCTGTAGAGTACGTGTAGAGTATCTGTAGAGTATCTGTAGAGTACGTGTAGAGTATCTGTAGAGTACGTGTAGAGTATCTGTAGAGTACGTGTAGAGTATCTGTAGAGTACGTGTAGAGTACGTGTAGAGTACGTGTAGTGTACGTGTAGAGTATCTGTAGTGTACGTGTAGAGTACGTGTAGAGTACGTGTAGAGGCTGTGTGCATCTTCTAATTCTTTAATGCGCTGATTAAGGACATCGCTATGGTACACGTGCAGCATGACACTAGAAACTATCTTTCCTCAACAGAAATTACACCCGCCCTGAGAAATTATCGTGTACGAATATGCCCCCAGCAATCTAAGGCCTCATGGTCGGACTCGGTGACGTGCTGGTTGCGTGGCATCATAATCAGGAGGCATGGCACGTCGCTCATAATATCACTTATTGATGTGTCTGGTCCAGACTCTCAACAGGCCGATGTCACATTGCTGAGTGCATTGTAAAACAAGAAACACACAAGACGGTAACCATCAGTAAGCTACCACATCACTAGTCGACCCCTACTACATCACTAGTCGACCCACACCACATCACTAGTCGACCTCTACTACATCACTAGTCGACCCACACCACATCACTAGTCGACCTCTACCACATCACTAGTCGACCCCTACTACATCACCAGTCGCCCCCTACTACATGGCGCCGCCTAACCACTAACTCACGGCAGAAAGCTGTAGCTAGCAATTGTTCCCGTAGGGTTTAGTGCTGAATGAGTCTCGCAAATAAGAAACGGTTGCAAAGACTTACTCTCCACAGTACGATGTCATTAAGTATTATTGTCACAATCACACCTTGGGAAAGATTTAAACGCGATCCGTTTTGCCATCTCGTGACTTCGACTCACTTCACTTGATAAGATGTAAGGTACGAGTGTTTCGTGCCAAAGGTCATCTAAGTGATACCAAACCCAAACCTTTAAATTTTGGAACATGCGTTTCATACGCTATTTCTAATATCTGTAGTAACTTGACTTACCTCATCCTGCCCTCTACCCCACCCTGATAGGGGTGTTTGTGTTGAGACGACGGAGAGTGTCGACCACGGCATCTTGTCTCGCACTTCCCCGGAGCCTCATGAAGGCGGACGATGGTATCTTTCCTATCCTTATGTAATTCCTCTTCTCTGCGCCCAGAGAATAGTGCTGGCCAGAACTACGACCTATCCTTAGAAAGCGGCTGTACGGGCGCCCCTTCTTCTCGGGCATAAGGTCCTTCTGGGTGGGCGCGGGGGGTGGTGCCCTGTACAACCTGTGTACTATGTCCCTTGACAACCTGTCATTGTCGGGGTTAGTGAAAACCGTGCGTAGGAAAAACATAATTTTGTAGAGGACGTTATCAGCTTGGTCTTGGTGTATTAACATGTCCTCTAGACACTGGGGTCCTCTACAGGGAACGGCATGCGCGGTCGTCAGCACCATGGTAATTAGAATACACGCATCACGGGAAGACACTGGCAGATGCATACTTCTTCCTGAAAACATCACACGGCAAATAACAGGTATAACATCGCCACAATATCCTTCGTTGTTATTACATATCATGACATGAAATGGACTACTACTACTACTACTACTACTACTACTACTACTACTTAGACCCCTGAAGATCCGGGGTGGAATAGGTCTTCAGCAACCCATGCTTGCCGTAAAAGGCGACTGTGCTTGTCGTAAGAGGCGACTAACGGGATCGGGTGGTCAGGCTCGCTGACTTGGTTGATGCATGTCATCGTATCCCAATTGTGTGGATCGATGCTCATGATGTCTGGTTCAGACTCGATTATTAATTTTACAGACCGCCGTCATATAACTGGAATATTGCTGAGTGCGGCGTTAAACAACAAACAAACTACTACTACTAGTAGTACTACTACTACTACTACTACTACTACTAGTAATAATAATAACAATAGTGTAATATTTATGTATGTACATGAATATGTATGGTAACATGTCCTTTTTAACTATTTAAATGATTTAGCAACTGTCATTCGGCACAACCCAAAGTCAAATTGCCAAGGTGCAAGTACCTCACCGAGATACGCCAGATACGCCTTACCTGTTTAGGTCCTGATGTAATCCTTACTGGCAGTGTTTGGGAGGCTTTACAAGCGGACCGGGCTTATATAGAAGTCACAGCAAGACAGGGTATGACAAACACATATCTCATGCGCTGTGTCGTCAGTGCGTGGTTTGCAGATAGCTGTAGCCACGTCGTATGTCATCCTTAGGTAGACAGCCAGCAAATATGAGCCAAACATACACCCGGGAGCTAAATAGTAATGAAATTTAGCAGACATTCTCCTCTTTCATACATAATGTGTGCGTCCGATTGACTTTCATACAGTCTAACACATCGAGCCTCCAGAAAGATCCAGTATTTTAGACATTTTCATTTACATAATCAACAATTCCTCTTAACATGCACTTAATTCTTTTTGCATATTAATAATTTGTCAGCAATTCCATATGGATTGAGACTCCTAACGATACTGTAGTTTGTTCTTTTATCTGTAACACAATACAATATAAGATACCGTTGGACAGCTTTAACTCACTCACTCATGTGCGTTAATGTAACTCAGTGCAACGACGTACATCTGTGTCCTTGTGCAACATGATGACGTCTGACGCACGGCTGACGTATACACCTGCCTACCTGTGTCACATCAGCGTAGGCAACGGTTCATCATTTACCTGGAAGATGACAGGTTATGTTCCCGAAATAGAATACTGCATTTGACAAACCATTAACTCCCCTTATTACACCCGCACGCTTTATAATAGTAGAACATTAGAACATGCGACAGGATTGATACAAGTGCACGTACACATTGTATTATTATCATTTGAATACAACTATATACATGTTCAAATAGGTGTGAAATACTATTGGTAATATATATATATATATATATATATATATATATATATATATATACTGAACCAAATTAAAAACTTCACAATCCTAAAATTTTAACATTTTGACCAGTTACCATTGTGGGCCCTTATTGTGTATTTAAACAGTAATGGCCACGTATTGTCTTCAGATAATAGCCGTTTTAGTGCAGGTGAATCGATCAAAATCATGTGCACAGCACATAGTGGCAAAAGTGGTTTTTCACGTGCAACTGGTCACGTGGCCATAATACCGCACGTGCTTTCAGCCATACTTGTTAGCAGTCATTAACAAAAAAAGAAAAACACAAGAAAACAAAAGTCTTTACGGCCATTTATCATGCCACGCCTTTCAAATGTACAACGTGAACGTGCCATCGGCATGTTGCCGACGGGAACGTCCGTAGCTGAAGTCGCAAGGACGATGGGTTGTAGTCGACGGACTGTTTATGATTTACAGACGCGTCTATAGCAAACGGGTACCACCGCTGATCGCCCTCGGCCAGGTCGACCACGTGTGACGTCACATGCAGAGGATCGTCAGATTGTCTTACGTCACCTCCGTAACCGATTTTTGACGGCTACATCAACCAGAAATGAACTGTTTAGGGGTAGACTGAGTGCGCAAACTGTTCGAAACCGTCTGAGAACTGCTTACCTTCAAGCACGACGGCCATACTGCGGGCCGATTCTGACTCAGTTACACAGACGTCAACGTCAATTTTGGGCACACCGACACTTACGATGGACTCAGAGGAATTGGAATCAAGTCGTCTTCAGTGATGAATCCCGATTTAATCTTCGATTCGCTGATGGTAGGGCCATGGTGTGGAGGCGCCGTCATGAACGTTACGCCCAGTGTTGTGTACAGGAAGTTGACAGATTTCGAGGCGGAAGTGTCATGGTGTTGGGTGCTTTCTGTGGCAATGCACGTTCCAGGCTTCTTGTCATCCGTGGCAACCTCAACGCTGCTGCTTACCGCGACCAGGTACTGGCACCAGAACTTCTGATTTTTATGGCAGCACATGGACCCGGTTTGATCTTCCGGAATTTCCTTCAGAATGCGGGAGTCAACGTCATGGACTGGCCGTCAATCCCATCGAACTCGTCTGGGATGCTCTTGGCAGAAGTCTGCGCACTTTCCAGAACCAACCACAGAATTTGCAAGATCTTGGCACCATTTGCAGCAACAATGGCGTCGTCTTCCCAATCATGTGTTCACAAGCATCACAAGGTCCATGCGGAGGCGTTGTGTGGCAGTTGTCAACGCACATGGTGGCCATACACGCTACTGAACTTGTGTGCCATCAGATTCTCGTGCTTGGGACTTATGATTTAAACTGTTGATGTTATTACCGAATACCGTAGGTGCTTGGAACAAATTATGGTTACCCCGGATCAAAATGATCACAACAAGGACATGCAAACCATTAGTCGCGAAACACGTACGATTCGGAAAAAAACGCACTCAGTGCATTAACAAAAGGGCCACATAGCTGCACGTACTGCACGTGCAGCAGCAATATTGAAGGAATTAAAGTGCAGGGTTTTTTAATGTCTGGCATTAACAGAAGTTCACAGAAACAAAGTCATAGGCCGCTGGCAGGCAGGGGAATCCCGATCAGCTGAAGCAAGGGATTTCAATGTTGCGCCCAGCACCATCACAAGGCTATGGGATCGGTTTTAAACAGCATGGGTCAACACGTGATCGGCCTAGGTCGGGACGACCAAGAGTAACCACCCCGGCCCAAGATCGCTACATCCGACTGCACCACCTACGTGAAAGGACGAACATAGCCGCCTCAACCGCATCCCAAATACCCGTACTGCGCAGAATCTCCGACCAGACCGTACGAAACCGTTTTAAAGCAGTAGATCTACGAGCAAGACGTCCTGTTCGACGCGTCATATTCAGTCGACAACATCGTAAACAAGGACTGCATTGGTGTTGTTAACACAGGGTATGGCCTCAACTGCGATGGACAGATGTGTCGTTCAGCGAAGAATCAGGATTTCTACTCCGTCGAGGGAATCGAAGATCACGGGTCTACAGACGTCGGGGAGAACGTTACGCCGGAAACTGTGTACAGGAAGTGGACAGATTTGGTGGTGGTAGCGTTATGATATGAGCGGATATCTCTCATCATGGCGGGATAGGTTTGGTCCACATCCAGGGCAATTTTACGGCTCAACCATACAGCAACGAAATTCTCCTATCACACGTTCTCCCAATTGCAGCCAATGGCAACGGTGTATTCCAGCGGGACAACGCTCGACCGCATACACACGGATGTGATTCGCATACTCGCCTCTTCCATGGGCAGGAGATGTCATGGTTTCCACTACGGGGATAATACAAAGTGGACATAACCCTTCACATCTTGGAATACGTAACTTTCTTCCTCGTGATATCATGAGATCATTACCTGAACATCGAAACTTCGTGTCAAACTTAGTCTGTAGTCTGAACTACAAAAACTCCAAACTGGTATATCTACAATATGGACAATCAGTTGTATCAAGAGTCTCTTTGCGGGTATATTAACATATAAAGTTTGGTGATATTTGGAAAAGTCAGTGTGTTTTATGTGATAAGATGTTTTCATCAGATTTCAAATTAACCTTCAGAGAAAATCTTCCCAATTCACCCCTTGCCACAATATTAGGAATAGAACGCCTAATGTGTAAAACAAGGCAGATGCATACTTCTTCCTGAAAACATCACACGGCAAATAACAGGTATAACATCGCCACAATATCCTTCGTTGTTATTACATATCATGACATGAAATGGACTACTACTACTAGCAAAAAACATTACTGCAATTACGACGGCAGTATACAAAAGAGTGGTAGTGCCAAATTCAATGGCAGTACAATTACAATGGCAGTGTAAAATACTCAACAACAAAAGTTCCTGTGACACCAATATTTTAGTGTATTTTTCAAACAAGTAAAGTTTGGTTTTCAATATTGTAGTACATGTATGGAATCAAGTGACAAAAACGCAACTGCTACAGAAAAGCATGCATTCCATGCAAAAGTTGACTTTATGCAAGCCCCATGCATATCACTACCCAAGAATGGGTATAAAAACATGTGCGTTACGCATTGTTTAGCATCGTGCTGACAACAACCACTCAGAAAAACCAACAAATTACACAATTATTCAACATTACGAAATGCCACGCCTGTCCGAAAATGAGTGTCTGCGAGCCATCGGTATGCTCGAAGCAGGATCGAGTCAACGTGATGTTGCAAGACAATTTAACGTCCACAGAAACACCATTTGGTGTTTATGGCAACGTTGGCAACAGACGAATGCAGTCATAGCCCATCCTCGGAGTGGCAGGCCACGCGTAACCAATAATCGACAAGACAACTGGATTCGAACAACACACCTACGAAATCGATTTCAGCCAGCAACAGTGACTGCAAGAAGCATCCCTGGCCTTCGACGAATATCTTCACAAACCGTACGTCGTTGCCTCAGATGTGCAGGGATTGTCGCCAGAATACCCACCAGACGTCCCATTTTGACAGGAAACCACCGTCAAGCATGTCTAAAGTGGTGCAGACAGCGTCTACGCTGGACGGCCATGTAGTGGGAACAAGTTCTATTCACTGACGAGTCTCGTTTTCACCTCAGCCACAGCGATGGACGGATTCGAGTGTACCGACGTCGAGGTGAACGTTACGTCAATCATTGTGTCACGGAAGAAGATCGGTACGGGGGCGGGGGCGTTATGGTATGGGGTTGGATTACAGCAAGACAGAGGACCCGTTTGATAGTGGTAGAGGGAAATCTCAATGGACAGCGCTACCACGACGAGATCATCGGCCCTGTTGTTGTACCGTTTTTGCGTCGTCATGGCCCAGGCATTACCTTTCAACGTGACAGCGCCTGGCCTCATATTGCTCGACTTGTTCAGCAACGTGAATGTCATCTCCTGGCCGGCTTGCTCCCCTGATCTCTCACCAATCGAGCACTTGTGGATTGAGATGGATCGGCGCCTTCGACGTCAACCACGTGTTCCACAGACACTCCAGGAAATTTGAAATATGCTCCAGCAGATATGGACGGATATCCCACAGGACTTTGTGCGACGCCTGGTCCATTCCATGAGATGAAGATGTGTTGCTTGCATCGCAACCAGAGGTGACACACACGCTATTTATTTGTAAATTGACATTTTGGCATGTTCATTTTTTTTTTTAATGAAATCACGCATTTTCTGAAGTCAGTATGGCAAATTAAACCATTTGAACACTTACAGGAGACTTTTGTCTGTTTTG